TGAGACTAAACTTGAACTTCGCCCTGCCTGGTCAGATCACACTGTGACCATGGTGTGATTTGCCTCCCAACTAGAGGTGTGCACAGAACCTTGTACTACATCCCTAGCTGCTGACCATTGCATTTTGCCCTCAACTTAGCTACAGTAAAAGGGTGGGTCTTCAGAAGGGAAGAATCTGTTGCTGAGAGACTGACAGTGCTAACCTCTAGTGTCTTCCTTTGGCTTTTGAAGCACTTCTAGGACTATTGAACCTGAGGGCTTCTAGGAGTCCAGGGACATTGCACTCCTTCATGAAGGGGAAGAAAGAGGGCATTGCTACAGGAGACAAACTAGGGTAAACCAGTTGAAGTAGCTGGACAAAATTGTTAATGCCTTCACATAAGGGATAGTATACCTCTGGCTGCAATCAAACTTCATTGTACTCAGACTGGTGATTTACGGTTTGTGCTCAGACAAGGTGCAGTTCTTCAGTCAACTACCTGCATATTCCTTCATCTCTTTACAAGTGTTTAGGCTAGCCTATTTCTGCCCCTTACTCTTCCACTTAATATTTTGGAATAATTTGTAAATTCCCCCTCATAACTAATCAGTCCATGTATCTTAAAACCTTATTTTTAAGTTAGTTTTGAAATGGTCAAAATTTTCTGTATATTACTATAATAACTTCAATTGTTATCCTTTAGGTGAAGATGAAAGCTGAGTGAAACCGGAGTGCTCATCCATGGGAAGTAAGCATAATTTCTAGTCTTGTTCTGAATGGGTGAAATAATGATGGCTTCTGGTCACTTGATGTCCAGTCGCCCAGTACCTTTTGAATTGGTGAATACTGAGAAATCGGTACGAGTGAACACGAGATGCGTAGGGTAGAACTTAGTACCTGCTGTCAGGCTGTGGGTTAAGCACTCAGACTCTGAGCTTCACATCTTGACAGCAGTGGTTTAAAAATACTTTTCTAAACGTGGGATTGTACAGAGGATTTCAAAATCACCGTGGGTATAACTTCTGCATATTTTTCCAGTTCAGGAGCCAAGCATGAGCACATCCAGCATGGTGCCCAGTGATATGTGGAGGGACCAAGATAACAAGTGAACAAGTAAGTAGATGGTGTCCTTAGACTGCTGTAAGAACTTGGTGGCCCATCACCCTGTGACGCACTATGTAGTTCTTGTCTGAAATTTGCTATTGATTAATCTCGGTTTTATCTAAAATTTCTGAATCTGTCTTTTGTAGAGCCAAGATATAACCACTGTTTGAGGCTTTTCAGCCCTGCAGCATCAAATAAACTCTGTCGTCCGAATGCTGTAGGTGGTCAAACAAGAAATAACCATTTCTACATTCAGGCTCCTGTGATTGGGGTGGGTGATTGTCAGCAAGGAAAAAGGAACAATAGAGCAGCTGCTTCTCAAATGTTAATCCAACTGAAAGTTCTTAAGCTATTCTTCTGAAATGTTTTAATGAACATTGAACTTCCAAAATAAACCTGGAATATAAATTTGCACGTGTAAGAGCACAAGCAGATAGCTATTTAGGGAAATAAACTTGCAGAGCTGGAATTAATGACATTTTGCCTCTAATTTACAACTAAAAATTAAAGGGGGGACTTCAGATATTTAAAATCTTATGCGAGGAGCAACACGAAAAGTACCTTAACTCACGAGTCACGGGTGAGTAGCAGCTTAGATAACGCCACAACCGAGCCTGTAAGACGTGAAGCCAGCGAGATTCAATTGGTGAACTATTGGATGAAATAGGTGAAAATGTGAATGCTGCTCGTTTAACCCCAAGTTGAGAATTTTCAATCCTAGAGAACGTTTGCCAGCTGCATGGCCTGTTCTGATGCACTGGTTCCCTTTCCATGTCATCATGTGTGATTTCTGCTGGCTTTTTTAATGTTTTTGCTAACTGTGCTTTGCACTTGCAGAAGAAGATGAAGTCTGAATGCAGTGAAGAGGAGCCAGGAACATACAATTTTTTGAAATAAAAGAGTTAATTTTTTTTATGAATGACTTGTGTTTTATTCCAGTGTATTCAGTGAGTAAGCAATCTGTTCAGCATAAGGCCGTGTGGATGGATTTGAGGAACTGCCACAAACGAGGCTGTAGAAGGGGATGCAGAGCGTGCTTGGGGTGCTGTTCTGCGACAGACACATGAAAGTTAACCGCTCATAACCAATAAAAACTGGACAAATCCGTAATACAGGATTTTCTCCTGCTGGGATTGTGCCATGGGCTTCCTCTTGTAGTGAAAATGCTCTGGTCCTCAGGCTGGCTCTATTCCTGGCCAGTGAGCAGCCATAGGTGCTTTTGCCAAATAATTAGCTTGATTTTTTTTTTTTTTTAGTAAGTTCCATTTGCACCTAAGGTACTTTTTTGCACCTAAGGTACTTCAAGTATTTCTGGAAGTCTCACCCATTCCTTCCCCCATCTCAAGTCCTGTGTGCTGCTGTATTTTTAGATCACAGAATTCAGAGTGTTTAGATGTGCCCAGTTGGTTTTTAATAGTTTTCTCAGTGATGACTGTAGTAGTTAAGCCCGAGATGCCAAACTTAGAGTTCTCTGGAAGCCAGAAAAGTGCTGGGTTTAGCTCTTACAGCACGAATTACCATGGTTCATCCTGCTTCGTTTGATTCTTTGGGCAGCTGTACTGTGCACATACATAGTTCATGCTGTCATTTATTAAATACAATCCTCTGTTTAGGTATCAAGTAGTTTAATGTGTTAAAATACACCAGCAGTAGGCTCTGTTCATACAGCTGTGTTGTAACAGGGTTTTCCTTTACAGTGGCTTGAAGTTGTGAACGCTTGCCTGGGAACTCCTTTGCTGGACTGGGAAGGGCAAAATAAATGGGGTTTAATGTGGCAAAGTCACCTGAACTACTTGCGACGTGTCTGGGTGGGCAGTGGAGCAGGATTAGTGCCTGGCTGGACCACAGATCGTCTCTGCTTTAAATCCCAGCCGGGAATAGGTTTTGCTTTGGTTTAAATCTTCACTTCCCTCTGGGGAATTGTCCCTGACAAAACCAAGTGAAGGTGGTCACAACTGCTGTAGCACCGTTTCTGCCGTTGGCTCCTGGTGTTTTCTAGCAGTAAGTGTGGCTGGAGGCGGGGGGGACACGGAGGGAGGGGACCGGTGGCAGCAGCTGGGCGGGCGGAGGGTAGGGAAGGTTGGTGCTGTGGGAAAAGCTCCTGCCAGCTGTTTTTCACTCCTGCAATCCGGCGCTTGGGAATGGGACAGTCCTGGGTATTTCACTCTGATTTGAGAGCTTTGTGGGATTGTCTGGATTCTGAAAAGGCTTCAGCCCGAAGAGGTTTTGTGTTTCCTCAGTAGCTGCACTGCAAGGGGCTGGGTTTCCATGTCTTTGTCTCCACAGCTACTGCAGGCTTATGCAGCCTTTTTTTTTTTTCCCCCCTCAAATTCTGTTATTTTCCAGTAACTTGCCCTCATTTCTTTTCCACTGTTGCAGCATCACCTGCTTCCTCTGTGAAAGTGTTCCAGCCTGAATGCGATTCCAGCATTCAGCGTGCTGAACTTCACCTCCTACAGCTGCCTCGATGAGCAACCCAGGCTTTGCTTCCTTGGCGTGGCTGCGGGTGGGAGGATGGCAAAGAGCCCCCTGGGTTCTGTGTCCATCACCTGGCCTCGCCTCGGAGTGTGGTAGTGCCCTTGGGCTGGTAAAGTTCTGTTAAGTAACTCCCGTTATTAAAAAAACCAAGAGCTTGAGGGCAGGTACGAGGTGCCCCAGGGCCAGTGTTGGGTTTATCTGCCCTGGGGGGGCTCGGCTGGGCGGTGACTGGGGTCCCCAGCAGCGCCGCCCCCCCCCCCCCAGCCAGCGCTCAGGAGGGGTTTGATCGATTTTTACACTCAATTTCCCCCCACCATGGGCTTTCCGAGGGAAGAGGGGCTGGAGCCTGCCCCGGCCTGGTGCAATTTATCCTTGTGAGCCGGAGCGGGGAGACGCTCCAAATCCTCGTGAGCAGCTCCTCGCTGCCAGGAGTAAAAATAGTGCTGCCCCATAAATAAAGCTGGGCCGGGCTCAGCGCTGCTCCTGGCCGGTGCTTCCCTGCGCTTGGGAAGCAGTTCCTGCTCCTTCATCATTTATGGGCTTTAAAAAAAAATATATTTTTTCCCCTGAATCACGACAGCGGGGGCCCGGGCTGCCGGGAGCCTCGGGGAGCGTGGGGCCGGTGACAGCCGCCTCCTTGGCCCCCCCCGCCCCCCCCCCCCCGCGGTGTAAGGGGCTCCCCGCCGGCCCCGGGGTCCCCGCGGCCACCCCGAGCCTGCAGCGCTTGGTGGGCGCTCGCCTGGAGCTCGACCCACTCACAGCACCCGCAAAACCCCAACTTGGGGCTTTTGGTTTTATTTTTTTTCCACTTAGTGGTTTTTGGGGTTTTTTTGTTTTGTTTTGTTTGTTTGTTTGTTTTTTGTGTTTTTTGTTTTTTTTTTGTTTTGTTTGTTTGTTTGTTTTTTGTGTTTTTTTGTTTGTTTTTTGTTTTGTTTGTTTGTTTGTTTGTTTGTGTTTTTTTTTGTTTGTTTTTTTTTTTTTTTTTTCCCACCGTTGCGGTTTGGTGGGAGGGCGGTGCTGGCTGGGGGTTGGGGGATCACAGCCTCGCGGCGGGGGGGGGTGTGTGTGTGTGTGAAGCTGCAGCTTTACGCACCCCCTGCCCCAGCAGCACCCCGGGGGGGGGGGGGGGGGGCCCTGCCTGTCCCCGCCAGGACGGGGTGGGGGGGGCCCTGCCTGTTCCCTCCAGGACGGGGGGGGGGGGGGGGGGGGGGGCCCTGCCTGTCCCCGCCAGGACGGGGTGGGGGGGGGGCCCTGCCTGTTCCCTCCAGGACGGGGGGGGGGGGGGGCCCTGCCTGTCCCCGCCTGGACGGGGCGGGGGGGGGGGGGGGGCCCTGCCTGTCCCCGCCTGGACGGGGCGGGGGGGGGGGGGGGGGGCCCTGCCTGTCCCCGCCTGGACGGGGGGGGGGGGGGGGGGGCGGGCCTGGGCTGAGCCGCCCCGGCCCCGCCCGTCCCCGCCATGGCGGCGGCCTTCACCCTCCTCCGCCGCCTGCTCGGGGTTTTTTTCCTGCTGGCGGGCGCCGTGAAGCTCTCGGACCGGCTCTCGGCCGATCTGCACCGGCACATGGTGAGCGCGGGGTGCGGGGGGGGGGGGGGGCGCGGCGACGAGCTGCGGGGGGGGGGTGAAAGACGGGGCTGGTTCAGGGGGTGCAGGACCGAGCCCCCCGGGGTGCAGGGCTGAGCTCTTGGGGGGGAAGGAGCAGGGTGGGCTGAGCGCTTTTGGGGTGAGCAAGCCTGAGCCTCTTGGGGTGCAGGGCTGAGCCTTTCCGGGGAAGGGGTTGAATCCTTTGGGGTTCTGGGGTGCAGGGCTTGAGCCCTTCGGGGGGAGCAAGTTGGGGAGCTGGGCTGAGCCTTTCCAGGGAAATGGCTGAATTCTTTGGGGTGCAGGGCTGACTGAGCCTTTGGGGTGAATGAGCAAGCTGGGGTGGAGGGCTGAGCCTTTCCGGGGAAGGGGCTGAATCCTTTGGGGTTCTGGGGTGCAGGGCTGAGCCCTTCGGGGGGAATGAGCAAGTTGGGGAGCTGGGCTGAGCCTTTTGGGGATAAGCAGGCCTGGGCCCCTTGGGGTGCAGGGCTGAGCCTTTCCAGGGAAGGGGCTGAATCCTTTGGGGTGCAGGGCTGAGCCTTTCCAGGGAAGGGGCTGAATCCTTTGGGGTACAGGGCTGAGCCTTTCCAGGGAAGGGGCTGAATCCTTTGGGGTGCAGGGCTGAGCCTTTCCAGGGAAGGGGCTGAATCCTTTGGGGTGCAGGGCTGAGCCTTTCCAGGGAAGGGGCTGAATCCTTTGGGGTGCAGGGCTGAGCCTTTCCAGGGAAGGGGCTGAATCCTTTGGGGTGCAGGGCTGAGCCTTTCCAGGGAAGGGGCTGAATCCTTTGGGGTGCAGGGCTGAGCCTTTCCAGGGAAGGGGCTGAATCCTTTGGGGTGCAGGGCTGAGTCTTTCCAGGGAAGGGGCTGAATCCTTTGGGGTGCAGGGCTGAGTCTTTCCAGGGAAGGGGCTGAATCCTTTGGGGTGCAGGGCTGAGCCTTTCCAGGGAAGGGGCTGAATCCTTTGGGGTTCTGGGGTGCAGGGCTGAGCCTTTCCAGGGAAGGGCTGAATCCTTTGGGGTACAGGGCTGAGCCTTTCCAGGGAAGGGGCTGAATCCTTTGGGGTGCAGGGCTGAGTCTTTCCGGGGAAGGGGCTGAATCCTTTGGGGTGCAGGGCTGAGCCTTTCCAGGGAAGGGGCTGAATCCTTTGGGGTGCAGGGCTGAGTCTTTCCAGGGAAGGGGCTGAATCCTTTGGGGTGCAGGGCTGAGTCTTTCCGGGGAAGGGGCTGAATCCTTTGGGGTGCAGGGCTGAGTCTTTCCGGGGAAGGGGCTGAATCCTTTGGGGTGCAGGGCTGAGTCTTTCCAGGGAAGGGGCTGAATCCTTTGGGGTGCAGGGCTGAGTCTTTCCAGGGAAGGGGCTGAATCCTTTGGGGTGCAGGGCTGAGTCTTTCCGGGGAAGGGGCTGAATCCTTTGGGGTGCAGGGCTGAGCCTGTTGGGACGTGGAGCGGAGCAGACCCCGCCGGAGGGGCTGTGCCCCCCCCAGCCCCGGGCTCAGGGCAGCTCCGCTCCCCTCCTGCCCTTCCCAGAAGTCGCAGTTCGTGCGGTTCGCCGAGGTCTTTCCCCTTTCAGAGTTCGGGCTGGTGCCGGAGCCGGGCCGGTACCTGGAGGTGGTGGGCTGGGTGGAGGTGGTGGCCGGGCTGCTGCTGGCGTTCGGGCCCCAGCTCCTGCAGGAGATCAGCAACTTCGTCCTCAGCGTCGTCATGATCGGTGAGAGCGAGCGAGCGAGCGGGGCGGCCACCACCCTGCGGCGGGGTCTCGGGGGACCCCCAGTTCCCACGCTCTGCTCCTCGCCCAGGTGCCATCTACACGCTGCTGGTGCTGCGGGAGCCCCTGGCCATGTGCGCCCCGGCCACCCTCTGCCTCGGCCTCCTCCTGCTGCTCAACATCCGCGGGCACGCAGAACCCCCCAAGCCCAAGTTCGAGTGACCGGAGGCAGGAAGGACAGACGGCTCTGCCGGCAGGAATCCACGCCCTTACGTTATTTTGGGGGACGGCATTGCTTCCCGTGGGGTAACTCGCTGCTCAGGCGCATTGTGTCCTCTCCTGCCGCTGCCGGGGTTGTCCCCATGCTGGTGCTGGTTGTCCCCATGCTGCGGGACCCAGACTGGTGCTTTGGGACGGTGGCAGTGGCACCACCGCTGCCCCAGCAGCCCCATTGCTAAACTCGCAGAAAGTGTCTGCCTCTTCCCAGCACTCGGCCACGCCGGGCTGGGGCTGGCTCTGCTCTCTGGGGGGCTTTTTTATTTGGGAATAAAGCCTCTTATTTTTCACATTTTGCCTCCCCTGTTCATTTCTGTGTCATCCCCCCCCCCCCCCAGTGCTGAGCTGCAGGGGCTGAAGGGATGTCCTGGGGCTGGAGGCCCTGGTCCCCTGGAGCAGTGGCTGGGGACAAGGTCTGGGGACAGGCGGGAGCCGGTGGCAGCTGGTGCGGAGGCAGACAGCCGGTGGGGAGAGTCTGAGAGGGGGTGGGAGCCCCCCAGCCACCCGGAGCCCCCCAGCAATGTGCCAGGGGGGTGACAGCATGACCCCCCCCAAACCCCATGCCTAGGCAAGCTCATGCTTTTTGGCCCCGCACCCAGAGGGACCCCTTTGCCACCCCTGATGGCCAACTCAGGATGAGCCCCAAGATCGCGTTTAAACCGGGTGCATGTGGGGGGACACTGGCCGTTTTGGGATGAACAAGGGGGGGGTACAACACCCCCTGTGCCCCCAGTGGGACCTGACCCACCTTGGGGTGGCACCTTTGGTGTCCCAACGGAACATCCACAAGTTGCAGGGCCACGCAAAGCAGTGAGTTGGATGCTCACAGTTTGAGGGGGGCCCTGGGGTGCTGCTCCCCTTAAATCCAGCTTTGAAGCCAACAAAAGCACAAAGCCGGGAGGAGGCAGATTCCAGCTTTGATCCCTTTCAGGGCATCCCCCCTTTTCCCCCAGCTGCTGGGTGCAGAAACTTGACCCTCTGCTGCTTTCATCTTGGCAGGGGTGGGAAAACGGCCCTGGGAAATGGCCCTAGATGGGGCTGGGCCCCCCCCTCCATGTACCCCCAGCCCCGTCAGCCGGCGCAGGGGGTCTTAGCATGGCTCCAGCAGGGAATCCCCCATTACATACACACGCAGGTGCTCTCCTCACTCCAGCTGCTGTCCCGCAGGCACTAACCCACACAGGGGCTTGGGGGGGGGGGGGGGGGGGCGGATCGGGCAGCCCCTGCCTGCCCCAGCACTTAAAACCTTCCCCAGCCTGGCTGGATCAGACAGCGAGGAGCAGCCAGAGGGGACACAGCCCGACCTGGTGGGGTAAGTAACCAGCTCGGCCTGGGTGAGATGGGGTGGGGGAAGGAAAGGGAAACGGGGACCGCGGAGGGAGGGAGGAGCATCCTGGGGGTCTGCGCTGGCTCTGCAGAACCGCTGAAGCGCACTGGGACGAGCCCTGAATCCCCCCCCTGGGCTCGGCAGCTCGTGCCCTCCGTGCCTCGGCCCGGGGCTGGGTGCTGCCTGTGCCGAATCCGGCGCTGCCACGCAGGAAAACACCCGCGGGGTGACTCAGTGCTGGCGGCGAGGTGTGGGCAGGCGGTGATGGGAGGTGAAATCGCTGCAGCCCTGGGATACAGCCGCTGCGGCACAACGTGGTTTTCCATGGCCAGGAGCGGCAAACGCCGGGGTGGGAAACCTGCCTCACGCAGGGCTCGGGTGGGGGGGGGCGGCGTGGGGGGCTGCCAGCCCCATCTCGTACCCCCCTGTCCATACCCGGTATCTCTCCCCTCCGATGCACGCTGAGCCGGTGGGTGACTTCCCCACGGGTGGGCTCTGTGGGGGGATTTGGGGCGCCTCGGTGGCCCCAGCAGGTGGGCGGCTGCGTGGGAGGCGTTAAGCCCCGCAGGTTCCAGTTGGAGCTGGTGTGGAACCTCTGGGTGCCACCGGCCACAGCTCTGTGCCACGCTGCAGCTGCTCCCCGGGGCTGGGGTTGGGCTGAGAGGGGCTCCCCAAGCCCCCTGTCTCCTGCGCGGAGCTGCTGGGGGCTGAGCCCCTCTGCCAGGCAATGGCATCCCCCGAGGGCACCAACCGGAGAGGTCATCCCGTGTCCGGGTGAATGTCCCTTCCCTGTCCCCTGAGGGCTGTGCGTGGGGCCGTGCCGCTGACTGTCCCCTCGTCTTTGCAGGCGCCCGGGATGAACGGCTCGGCGCCGGGGCCGCTGCCGGCGGGGCACCCCGGCCAGTGCGTGCCCAGCGACCCGGTGCAGTTTGTGCTGGTGCCCGTCGTCTACTGCCTGGTGCTGTGCGTGGGGCTGCCGGGCAACCTGGTGGCCTTGCTGGTCTTCCTGCAGAGCGGCAAGGTGAGGAAGGCCATCCGTATCTACCTCATCAACCTCACGCTGGCCGACATCCTCTTCAACCTCACCCTGCCCTTCTGGATCCCCTACTACCTGGCGGGGGGGGACTGGCTGCTCTCGGAGGCTGCTTGCCGCCTGGCCGGGGCCGCCTACTACCTGGCGACCTACAGCGCCGTCACCTTCATGGCGCTCATCAGCTTCAACCGGTTCTGCGCGGTGCGGGGGGCCCGGCGGGACCTGCCGCTGCCGGGGCGCCGGGGTGCGGCGCTGGCCTGCGCCCTGGCCTGGCTACTGGGGCTGGGCTGCGCCGTGCCCACCCTGGCCGCCCGGCAGACCTTCCCTGCCCGCGCCGGGGCCACCGCCTGCTTCGAGCAGCAGGGGCGGCGGCGGGCGTACGCCTACGCCGTGGTGGGCTTCTTCGCCGCCGCCTTCCTGGTGGTGCTGGGCGCCTACGCCTCCATCGCCCGGGCGCTCTCGGTGCCCGCCGCCGCCTCGCCGGGCTCCCACCGGCGGCAGGCACGGGCCATGGTGCTGGGGATGCTGGTGGTCTTCGTGGTCTGCGTGGCCCCTTACCACCTCACGCTGGCCCCCTGGGTGGACAGCCGGCCCGCCGTGCCGCTCTGCGGGCCCCCCGCCGCCCTGGACGTGCTGCACACCCTGAGCGTGGCCTTGCTCAGCCTCAACAGTTGCCTCGACCCCCTCGTCTACTGCTTCTCCATCCGGCGCTTCCGCGCCGACCTGGGACGGACCCTGCGCAAGATCAGCCGGTGCCTCCCACGCTCCCCGCCGGCCCCCCCCGGGCCCGTGCCCAGCACCCACGCATCCTCCTTTGCCTCCTCATAGCGGGGAGGGCACTGGGGTCCAGCTGCCCCGGTGCTGCAGTCCCACTGGGATGGGGTCCCCGGTGCCAGGCGAGGGATGGGGAGCAGCATGGGGGGAGCTCTGGCTTCATGCATCCCCTCCTCTTCCTCCCACCCCCGCTCTGCTCTCTGCGCATTCCCACGCGCTCACGGGCCCGCGGTTTCTGTTTGGGCACGGATCCTGCCCCCCGCGCCCACAGGCACTGGGAGGGCAGTTCGCCCAGCGAGGGGGGGGCTGAGCCGTGGGGATGTGGTGAGACAGGATGGGGAGGGACGCCCAGGGGTTGCTGTCCCCTCCATCCTGCTGGGACACGTGTGATCAAAGACACCCGGGGGGGGGCTGGTTGGGGCCCCGCGGCCGGTCCTGTCCTGCAGCGTGCCCGAGATTTGCGCCTGCATCTCGGCTGGGATTAAAAACGAACAAGCCAAAGGCTTCCCCGGTCTCTTTGCTGGGGGGGGCGCCTGTGCCCCACACCGAGCAGCGCCGGCTGCTCCTGCACCCCGGGGCAGGGCTGGGTGCAGGGCAGCCCCCAGCCCCCCCCAGCCCCGCTCCCGCAGCAGGACCCTGTGCCGGGGCACCTCCTGCGCTGGGGGGGGCTGCTGAGCCCTGCTCCCCCCCCCCCTCCAATCCTCCGCCCTGCCCACGGGTGGGTGGTCGTGGTGGGCGCAGCGCAGCCCCCAGCCCCGCGCCTGCCGCCCACTTTCCCGGCGAGCCTCGGCGTGCGGCGGGGGCGGCGGAGCTGGCTCAGGGCCGTGGGCGGCTGCGTGGGCGGCTGATGGTGTTTTCCCAGCGCTGGCTGGTTCCTGCCGTCACCGCGGCCCCGCTCCCCGGCGCTGCGCAGCCACGCAGGGGCAGGGGGGAAGGTGGTGAGGGAGGGTGGTGCATCCTCTGGGCCCCCCCCCCCCCCCCACACACACACCCAGGGGTCTCACAGGGTGGCTCTCCGGTACACTCCAACCCACTGGTGCCTGGGAAAGAAGCGTGAGGCATCGGGCAGGAGGGGATGGGGTGCCCGGGGGGCCGCCGGCACAGCGTGGGCAGGGTGGCAGCTGGCACTGGGGTGACTGGGCGATGCTGGGCCAGGCGAAGGTGGCCAGGCCCTGGGGGAGATGGGGGGGGGGGGGTGTCTCCACGTGCCATGGGAACCGTGCACCGCTGTGATTCTGGGAGACGGCAGCACAGTTAAGTGGGTGCGGGCTCACAGGATGCGTGGGGGCCCGTGGGGCGCCGGCGCTTCGCCCTGGCTCCGTGCAGCCGTGGCTGTGGGCTGGGCTGGTCGATGTGCCACGGTGCCACGTCCCAGCAGAGCCGGCGGCACGGCCAAGGGTGCTGCTGCTCCTCACCCAGCCCCGGCCCGGCCGCCCTCCGTCACCCCCTTGTTCCCCTTTTGAAGCACGCATTAAATTTTAATTGTTTTATGTAACTGCTCGGGGAGGTGGGCAGAAGCTGCGCTCCCCGCGTGCGGGCAGGAGCAGCCGTGCTGGCGGCAATGGGGGTGCCATGGGGCTGGGCGAGGGCTGGAGCTGGGGTTCACCCCCCACCCCGGGGGGCAGCAGGACTTTTGGGGGGGCTCTCAGCATACCAGGGCCTGGAGCAGGCCCAGCTCCAGCGCTGGCTCTGGCAGGGGGTCCTGGGGAAGGGGCTGTTCGGGGGGGGGGGGGGGGATAGTGATGGGGGCCATGGGGCTGCTGAGCGCTGCCCTGAGGTGGGGGTGGCTCTGCAGAGCCGCAGCGCTGGGAGCAGGGCTGGATCCGGGCCCACATCGTGCTGCAATCCCGCTGCCCCACCCCGGGGAAACACGCGTGTCCTCCAGCCCCGGCCGTCCCACGGTGTCACCGATGGCGTGACCCTGCCCGGTGGCACAGCCGGCCCGGCCAAGGGAGGTAGACACAAAATATCTGGACACGGTTGCTTAAAAACCCGCTCTGGGAGCTTGCTGGGGCCGTGTCCCCCCCCCACGCTTTGGGCAGGGGCTCCCACGCGGCGTGGCGGGTGGCCACAAGGGCCAGCACGGTGCCAGGGCCCGGCACGTGCCGCGGCGTGGCTGCCGCCACCGCGCCCAGCAAGGCCTTAACCAGGTGATTGTTCCGCTGCGTTTCTAACCCGCGCACGCCGTAATTATTATTATTAGCAAATTACACGGCAGCCGTGCGAGGGGCTCGGCGGGCGGGCGGCGACTGGCGGCCCCCGCTCTGCTGCGGGGAGACTGGGCCCTTGGGGGCTTCACCCTGCGTGGGGCTGTCCCGGGTGGGCAGCGTGGTCACGGGCAGGGGTGGGTGACGGGTCGCAGGGTGCCCCCGCCGCCCCCGGGGTGGGGGATGCCCACGGGTGGGTACCACTCGTCCCACTGCCAGCTCAGCACCGCGGGGCAGAGCCCACGCAGCGCTCCCCGCCGGCGGTAGCTCCCCGGTCCCACGCGTGCCCCCCGCCGCGCTGGGGGCCGGGGAGGAGGGGGGGGTCGCGGGGTGCCCGTGGCAGAGCCGCACCGGAGCCATTTTGCGCCGCCGCCCGCTCTGACTCCCGGGGAAAATCCACCGCCGTGTCTTGGCTGCGCCGCGGCGGCCCCGCTCCGCTCCGCGCCGCTCCGCGCCGCTCCGCGCCCATCCGCGCTGCACTGCGGGGCCGCCGCCACTCGCATGCTGCCGCCCGCCGCGCTCCCACGCGCGGGGCGCCGGCCCGGGCCGCGCCGGGACCAACCGAGCCGGGACCAACCCAGCCCCACCGAACCGCCCCGGTACCGGCCGGGTCGGGCCGTCGGGGAACCGCCCGGCAGCGCCCGGAGGATGTAGGCGGTAAGAGCACGGGGGGGTGTGGGGGTGGGCAGCGGGCTGGGGGGCACGGGGGGGGACGGGGCATCGCCAGGCGGGCGGGGGGCGCCGGTCCCGGGGGATCCGCGGTGCTTGGGGCTGCGGGGGGGGTGGGGGTGTCCCCAATGGGGCGCTGAGGCCGTGCGGGACAGGCCCCGGGGGACCCATCCGTCGCCGCCGAGAGGGTGCTGGGGGCGGGGGAGGGTGGGGGAGCCGGGGGGGAGCTGGCAAGATGGCTGGGGGCATCTCCCCGGCACCGCGGCGCGCAGCTCAGCATCCCCCGGCGCTGCGGGAGAAGGGGTGCGGGCGTCCCCCATCTCCTGCTGCCTGAGGCTTTGGGGCGGGGGCTGGAAGCTCTGAGCCCCTCCAGCCTCTCCCTGGAAGGCGACGCCAGCCATCCTGGCTCTCCGCCGCTGCGGAGGGCTCGGGCCAGGGCTGGGCAGGCCCAGGACCCCTCCCCAGCCCCGGTGCGCTCCCCCCCACGGCAGCCTGCGAGGCGGGGGGGTGGGTGCTGGGGGCGGGAGCCGTGTCCCAGCCGGGCCCGTGCGGGTCCGGGGCTGCCGGCGGGTGCTGGGAGCTGCTGCAGAGCATGAGCCGAGCTGTGACCGTCACCGTGCACCCAGGCTCCATGGCACAGCCCAGCCCCCCCAGGCAAGAAGGGGAGCTTTTCGGGGCCCCGGGTCTGGGTGTCTGTCTCCTCCCGTCGCCTTCCTTCTCCCGGGTGGTTGGGTTTTGTTGGGGGAGCCCGTCTGGTCCCTCCGCCCCGTGCCAAACCTGCAGAGCAAGTTGGTGCTGGGACTGCTCCTCTCTCTCCATCCCGTGACATCCAGCCCTGCGTGTCACCTCCCTCGTGGGGCGCAGGGCCACGCTGCCTGCAGTGGGTCCCTCCCTGCTCCCCAGGGCCAGTCATGAAGCTCTGAGTGGGCAGGAGGGGACAGAACCGGGCTGCTGGGTACCAACTGCCCCCGTGGGAGTGCGGGCTGGGAGCAAGCGGCCTCCCTTGGTGTAAATCAGGGCAGGATCTGGCCAGCAGCGCAGATTCTCCTTTAGAAAATGGATGGTACCTCCCGCCTCTCTCGGTTCCTCACCTCCGTGCTCCCAGTGTCCTCCCGCACGCGTCCGTGGCTCCCAGTCCTCCAGGATCCCGGCTGCTGGGGGATGGAGTGGGGGGATGGCCACCGAGAGACGGGCACAGCCACGCTCGGGAGGCTGGAAGGAGGCACGTCAGCCCTTTCTGGGCATTATCCGAGTGCCGGCAGGGCTGAGAGGGGAAAAAATAACCATCAAAGTGAACGTGGAGCATCTGAGGTGGAGGGGCCCCCCTTGGCTGCGGGGGTGGTGAGGGTGCCGGCGCGGGCGTGAGCTGTTTTTGGGGCTGCCTTGGGCGTTGTTACCCCACTGAGCCCAGGCACCGGGACCAGCTCCAGGCATCCCCGCTGCGGGGAAAGGGGGGACGCAACCGTGGCATCCCCACCCAGCCTGGGTGAGTTGGTGCCGAGCCCTCGGTGCCCAAATCTTCCTCCCGAGAGCCGGGGCTTGTGCCGTGTGGGCTGGAGGAGCAGCACCCAGGCTCCCCAGCCCTCCTGCTGGGCCTGGCCCCCAGCACCCTGGGGCAAGGCACGGGGAGGGAGCGGAGCGCGGTGGGGAGCACAGGTTGAGGGAGCCTGGGGTGGGGGGCCCTTCCTTCATCCTCCCCATCACTAGCTCGGAGCCGTGCTGGGACCTGCGGGACACAGAACCTGTGCAGGAGCTGGGGTGTAAGTGTCCACGGGTCTGCCCACCCGCGAGGGCAGGATCAGGCCCCACGCTGGGGTCTCGTGCCCGGGGCGGTGCTGCTGCGGCTGGCGCTGGGGCTCCAGATCCAGGTTTTGCAGACGCTCGCGTCTCTCCGACAAGCTGATCTGAAACCCTGGATCCCACCCAGCCAGAAATTTGGATCTGGAGCCAAAGGTGACTCTTGGCCCTTATTACCATCATGGGCGAAGCTAAAATCTGGATCTGAGCGGCGCCGTGAGGAGCCTGGATCCAGCTCAGGAGCTGAACGTGTGGCTTGTGCTCCTTCTGCCCATCAAATTGGATTTCCTGAAATAGCCTGTTGAAGACCAGAGCCCAGCAGGGACCGAATAACAGGTCACCAGGGGTGTGGAAGCCCCACCACGATTCTGGCTGCCTGCTTCAAGACGTTGGCAGCCAGCAATAATAGTAATATACGGTGCCATTGCCGGGAGAGCGCAGCGCTGGAGAGCTAAGAATAGCAGGCGAGACGTGGCGGCAGGCGGGGGACGCGTGGGGAGGGCCGGGGGGTGCGTGGCTGGAGGTGTCCCGGGGGACATCCCGGTGGTGGGGCGGCTGGAGGTGGGGGAGGACGTCCCCACGGGGCAGCGGAAGGCAAGAGGGGTTGGGGATGTGCGGAGCGGTGCCAGCGCCCTTCACCGTGGCCTCGGGGCTCTGCCGTTCCCGCGGCTCTCTCGATGGCGCTGGGATGTCCCGCTCCTTGGACGCGCAGCGGCACCGGGGGGAACCACCCTGGGAGCCAAGGAGGGGGCCAGGCTCTGAGCTCAGCACCCCGTGCTCACCTCCCCCCTCAAGCCAGGCAGGATTGGGCCCCTTCTGCTCCCCTTGCCCCTGCCCAGCGCCCAGCAGCTCGTCCCTGGGGGGACGGGGAGCTGAGGCGCGGGCAGGCCCGGCTGTTCTCCACCAGCCGCGGCGGCGGCACGTGGCAGCGGAGCAAGCGCCCGTCAGATTAAGGAGAATTAATTTGTACTTCCCCCGTTTCGGCGGGGCCGGGGGGTGCTGCGGGCGGTCGGTGGCCCCTTCCTGAGAGCAGCTCTGCTCCCGCAGCGCCTCTACAACCTGCCCTCCACCCAAATCAGATTTACCGTGTGTGTGTCGTCGTCGTCCCCCCCCACCCCAGCTCACTCCTCCCCAAATGCTGGAGCGGGAAGGAGCCATGACATGGTTTCTAATCAGCTTCTGAATTCAGATTTCTCTCGGCCGTCGCTTTTCGCAGCCTTTGTCTGGTGCTGCCCCGAGCAGGGGTGCTGCTCAGCGGTTCCCCTCGAAGCCGCGGCGGCAGGCGATGCCGGCACCCCGCCTCAGCCAGGAGACCCTACCAAAACGACAACGCTTTTTGGAGCCGGACGCTTGCAAGAGCATCGCCAGACCTTGCCGCGCGCGAGCCAAAGCAGGCGGCCTCCTCGCCGCGCACAACCCGGGGCCGGCAAGCGCCGGTGCTGTGCCGGCTGCTCCCGGAGCGCCGCTGCCGCCTTGGGGCTCATCCCGCGTTTGCTCCCGTGGGGCCGGGAGCCGGGCACCGTGCCCCACGTGCCCATCCTGGCGCGGCTCCGGTGCGACGCTGGGTTTGGCTCCTTCCCCGGCACCCGGCCCTCGTCGGCAGCGAGTTGTGGCTCTGAGCGAAGCCAGGGGATGCAAACACTTCCCCGCGCTGCCAAGCCCCAATTAATAGCCTGTGAATCATGATGCCGTTGGAAGAGCAGATGTTTGTGGCGCGGTTGCCAGCGCTCGGTGTTTCACTTGGAGGGGAGGGGGGGGGGGTGTCTGTTTGGCCTTAAAGCAGCAGTTTTGGGCGGCGGGCGGTGGTCGGAGCCTCGCTGCCTGCCTGGCCCCGGCGGGGCCGGCGGCTGTTTGTGCTGGGAATGAGCTGAAGTTTTTGGTGGGCAGAGCGGAGCGGGAGAACAGCCTGGCCGTGGGCGTGTGGGGGTGCCGCTTCGGAGCGAGAGGAGTGAGAAAGCTGAAGGTACCGAATCCCGGCGGGGCGTGGGTCCCATCCCCGGCGCTGCGGCCTCGGCCCGGGGCACCCCCCATCTCCCTCAGGGGCTGGAGGGGCTGCGGTGGGACTGGGGGTCTCCTGCAGTTTGGGGATGGTGAACTGGTTGTTACTGGGGCAACGGTGCGTGTCTTGGATGTGGGTGGGTGTCCCCAGCCGGTGGGTCGGGGCGAGACCCCGTGGCGGGTGACGCTCCCCGGGTCGGTGCCGCCGGACGGTCTCGGTGTTTCATGGCACAACGTGCGGCTGCTCCGCGCTCCCCCAGGTGCTGGGGGGGGGCTTGGGGACAGCCCCACAGCGGGGCACAGCGGGGGGGAGGTGCTGGGGGGGGGTGGGAGCAGTGGGGGCTGCGTGGCTGCCCGGGTTCCCAGGGGTGCAGCGGTGCAGAGCGGCTGTGTGTCTGTCCGGGTGTGCGGGGGCTGTGTGTCTGTCCAGACGTGTGGGGCTGTGTGTCTGTGGGTGTGCAGGGCTGTGTGTCTGTCTGGGTGTGTGGGGGCTGTGTGTCCGTCCGGGTGTGTGGGGGCTGTGTGTCCGTCCGGGTGTGTGGGGCTGTGTGTCTGTCTGGGTGTGCGGGGCTGTGTGTCTGTCTGGGTGTGTGGGGGCTGTGTGTCTGTCCGGGTGTGTGGGGCTGTGTGTCCGTCCAGGCGTGCAGGGCTGTGTGTCTGTCCAGATGTGTGGGACTGTTTTCTGTCCAGATGTGTGGGGCTGTGTGTCTGTCCAGACGTGTGGGGCTGTGTGTCCGTCCAGGCACGCAGGGCTCTGTGTGTCCATCCAGGCGCCTTCCCGGCTGTGTGGCTGTCTGTCTGTCTTTCTGTCCGTCCGTCAGCGCGCAGCGGGGCGGTGCGTGGGTGGGCGTGCGGGTGCCGCTGGCGTGGGCAGCCCCCTTCCCCCGCCTCCCCCGGGGGGGGGGGGGTGCGTGGCTGTGCGCGGGGGTGGCTGGAGCGCGCGGGGGTGTGTCCCAAAGCGTGTGCGGGGGCGACGGCTCCGCCACCGCCTCTCGCCAGCTGGAAGGTGCCGGTGTCGGCCCAGGCGCTGGGAGCGTGGCCACCGCCGTGGGTGGCCGTGGGTGGCTGTGACCCCGGGGGGGACACCTCCGGCCGGGCCGGTGGCCTCTCGCCGCGCAGCCTGGCCGCGCCATGGGCGACCCGCAGGGATTTCGTGGGAAGAGAGCGAACCCAGCCGCCGTGCCGCTCCCGTCCTCCGGCTCCCGCCGAGCCCAGACGGGCAACTTCATGGCTTAGCGGCCGCCGTGGGGTGAGTGGGGCGGCGGGGGCAAGAGAAAGGGCTGCGGGCGGGAGGGGAGCGGGCCTGGCGCCGGGCAGGGGGGTCCGTGCCTCGCAGAGCCCCTCTCCCCGGAGAGCCCCTCTCTGTGCCCGGCGCTGCCGGTGCAGCCCAGTCCCCCCAGCCCTGGCAGAGCGGGAGCCCCCCCAGGCACCTCGCACCCCCCCCCCCCCCGAGATGCTCCTAACCCTTTCCTGGCCGAGGCTTCCGTGCTGGCAGCCACCTCCTCATCTCGGTGTGCAGCGTGTGGCTCCCGGCCAGCCCTCTCCCAGACAAGCCCCGGCACAGCCTTGAAACTCGCCCGGCTGGGATGGGGAGCTCCCAGCCCACAGGTCTCCCCTCCTTTTCCCTTCAGCCCCGGGCTGGGTGCGCTGGGGCTGTGCACGCTGTGGGTCGCACCCTTGGGGACACCGTGCGCGCAGCCCTGGGGACGCGGTGCTCTCACTGCGGGGTGTTTGCTCAGGGGGAGGGAGGTGGGACCCCCATTGCTCCCGGCCCAGCTCTGCACGGGGCCACGCTGCGCCGGCTGTCCCCAAACTGGGCAGCACTGGGTTCCGTGGCCGGCTGGTGGGGGCGAGGAGGGAGCGGGCTGGGTGCGGGGGAGGCTTTGCTGAGTGCTCGGAGGTGGGGGGACGCACTGGCCTTGCCCAAGCCCCCCCCGTGTATGTGTGGGGATGTTCGTTTGCCTGCCCGTTCCGGGGTGTGGGGAGCGGGGCAGGGCGGTGCGAGGGACGGGGTCCCCTCAGCAGTGTCTGTGTGTTGGCCTGGGGATGGAGCCGGGGAGCCCCAGCTCTGCCTGCCAGACGGCCCCGCTGCCGGGGAGCAGCACAGCCGGTGCTGACATCTGTGCTTCGAGCCCTGCCTGCCTTCGGTTTCACTCCCTGGCACAGTCAGGGTGGCAGTCGGGTCCCTCTGTACCGCTCCTTGGTTTTCCCCCCATCGCCTTGCCTCTCCACAGAATGAACCTGTATTCTCCGGTGCGTTTTCTTGGAGGGGAAACTGAGGCAGGAGGGTGGGAAGTAGCAGAGCCCTCTCCCAATCCCTGTCATCCTCAGGCTGGATCCCACGCCTCGCCTTGGGTTGTTTTTTCCCTGCCAAGTGATGCCAAGAGCCGGAGGGAGGCGAGGGCGTCCCTGGACACCGCTCCGGGCCGTGTCTGCCCTGGGGCCCTGGAGCCGCCCGGCTCCTCCCGCCACCGCCCAGCGCGTCCCTGGCCCGGGGCTGGTGGCGGGGCCGCGGGGTGGCTGTTTGCCATGTGTGGTGGCCATGATGGCCTTGGTGGTGGCCATGGTGGTGGCCATGGTGGTGGCCATGGTGGTGGCCATGGTGGGGTGGGGCAGGCGCTATCTGCAGTGCTGGTCACCCCGGCGCTGCGTGGGAGAACCGGCAGCGTGTCGCGACACCGTGGCCCAACACCTTGGTCCCCCCGGGGTGCTGATGGGCGCGATGGTGCTCAGGGTCCCCCCACTCCCTTGGGGACATCCCGGCCTGTCCCTGGACCTTTGATGTGTGGCAGCTCCGGACAGGGCTGGTGGGATGGGCAGCCAACGGGGTGCTGCCGATGGTCCCGCTGCGCAGGTCGGATGGGGATGGGGGTGCCCCAAGTGGGGCTGCAGAACGGGGCAGGGTGGATTAGGGCACCCGGGGACATGGGCCACCAAGGCTCCGTCACTCCCTGCCAGGTTTGGGGGGTTCGGGGCAGGCCGGAGAGGCGCTGGCGGCTCTGCTGGGTGCAGCTGGGTGGGCACAGGGTGGCCGGGGTGGGGGGCACAGGGACACCGCACCGTGTCCCCAGCCTGGGCGCCGGTGTCAGCGCTCCCAGAACAAAATGTCAAACCATGCAAATGAGGCTGCGGGAGCGGTTGATTGAAGGGCCCTGCCCCGCCTCGGAGTTGCAATCAAATATGCAAATGGCTCCCGAGGAGGCTAGTGAAGGCTATTAATAGCGGGGGAGGAGGCTGTGAGAAAGCATGGCGTTCCTTGAGAGGATGAGGCTGGGGGGCTGAGCTGGCTCTGCTTGTCCCCCTGCCCTGCGTGTGCCACCCAGGCAGGCACCCACCTCTCTGCTGACACGCCGGCTGGGGTGGCCGGCGGTCCCTGGGGGTCCCCATGGACACCAGACATCGCTTTGGGCACCGTGGCCCTTTGCAGGGCGGGTGCTGCCCGGGTGCGGGGCGTCCTGCGCGAACGCCGCGTGTCTCCGTGCCGAACAGCCGGGAATCCCCGCGGGGAAAGCGCATCCGTTGCAAACGCCAGGCTGAGATTTCCCCCTTGGGGAGCTGAACCTCGAACGAGGAGGAATGGGGGGTGCTGCTCTGGGGGGGGGGGGTTCACTGTGGCTCGGTCTGGCGGGGGGAGCTCAGCCTGAAGCAGGAGTCACGTTTCAGTGGAGGGGGCTGGGGAGGGCTCCTCCCAGCCCCCCATCCATCACCCTCCGCTTTCATCTCCCCTTGCTTCTCCCGGTTTCCTTCCATTGCTGTCGAGGCAGAGGACGTCCCCCTCCTGCCAGCTCCAGTGCGAGCGTGAGGCGGGTTCCCACCACGGCACTGGTGGGGACCACGCTGTCCCCAGTCAACGTGGCGGGGGGGGCTCGGTGTGCTTGGGCCCCCACCGCAGCCCCTCCGCCCTGTCTCACGGGTTTTGGGATCTGGGAACCACCTGACCTTTTTAGAAAATTGTGCAAGTGAGGCTGGAGACAACAGTAACTAATTATTTAAAATCTGAAGCTGGCATAATTAGCCCAATTAACAGTCTCAGGTGATATCTTATTCTACCTGATAACGGCCTGAGGAAGAGGGAAATTAATTAACCCATCAGCCTGACATTTGTAGGTCACCACCAGCTCCTCGTGCCCGTCCAGGTGGGAGCAGGGGTGGTTTGGGGGTGCCCATGCCACTTGGTGCAGGGGGTCTGTGTGGTTTTGGGGTCTCGGTGCAGGGAGGGGGGCTACGGTTGAGCCCAGGTGCCATCTGGGGGAGATGGATTGGGGGCTGGTGGGTGGGGGGAGAGTGTGCTGGGGTCTGAGGCCAGGGTGATGGGCAGTGGGATGGGGCTTGGTGTCCCCCAGGAACGCTACCAGCGCAGGTTCGTTAGTGAGGCAGCAGCTGTAGGCCTTTAAGGTTGCTGTGGAAACGGTGCTGCTCGTTACCGGGAGGAGCCTCCTGCTTTCCAGGCAAGGCCCCCCCCCCATCACTGTGGGAGGGGGGGACCCCAACCCCGGGCACTTGGGACCACGCAGACCCCCGTGTCCGGGGAGGGACATGGCCGCGCACATGCCGGCGGGTGGCATTGGGTGTGCAGCTCCCCGGGGGCCAGCACAGACCCCCCCACCCCCCCCCGCCAGCCCCAGCGTGTCCTTGGCATGGCCGGTAGTGCCAGGCAGGGCTGCAGACTCATGGACGCACATGGACACTCATGGACACGCGTGCATCCCCGCACAGCCAAGGGGTGCCAGCGCACCCACCTCCCTGGGCAGCGCAGCCGTGCCCCCCCCACCCCAGAGACCCTGTCCTCCCCCCTCCGCCGGCTCAGGACCGTGCCCAGGTGCCACCCTGCACCCCAGCCTGGTCCCGGTGCCACGCTGCCCGCCCTCCCTGGCACGGCACGGGGCCCACGGGGTGCTGAGTGTGCCGAGGTAGAGCCCCCGCGGGTGGCTCGGCGAGGCCTCAGGGCTGCTCTCAGCTCTTGGAGTTTTAATGAGGTAAAATTGCATAAAAAGCTCCATTTGCCCTAAATGCCCATCCCTGCGTGAAGCTGCTGCGGCGCAGCCCAGGCCCACCCCGGGAGCTGGGCAGGGGGCTGCAGGCCCGGGCACACGCTCCCGGGCTGGGCACGTGGCCATGGCAGGAGGAGGAGGAGGATGAAGGCGTTTTAGCACATTTGCAATCATTTCCCTCCTCCCTCCATCCAAGTTTACAGCTTACCTCAGCGGCTTATCAGCCTCCAATCTCATTAAATCAAGCAAATTGTAGCATCTGATATTTTATGGAGATTAAGGTGTGCGCCCAGACTCTATAATTATCGGCAAAGATGTATTTACAATACCTTGTTGCTAGTAAACAAAAAATAACTTCAGATCAAAGCGCTTTTACAGGAAAATAAATCTGCCGATGGAGCCCCGCTGTGGCGCGCAGCACGGAGACGTCGGCGCTGCCCGAGGCGGGTGGGCGTTGCGGGGGGACGCGCGGCGAGCGGCTCGGGGGGGTCCCTGCTCCCCTGCGCCGGGGCCATCCCCAGCCCGCTGCCCGGCTCTCTCCCTCGCTGGCATCTCCCCGGGGTGCCCGGCAGCACCCACCCCTCCGGCGGCGGCTCTGCCAGGGATTTCCACCCCGGAGACTTCCCCGCACCCAGGCTGACACAGGACCGGGATTTATCAGCTCAAGCGTGTGAGCCCCTTGCCCCTCGATTTTTCACCGCGGTGGGAGCGCTGCGGGTTACCGATGCGGTGACGCTGAGTTTATTGGTGCCTGAAGTGGATTTACCCGTGCGGCGGGGCGTGGGCTCGCTGCCGGTGTAAATCACCGGGCACGGTGGTTCCCTCTCGCCGGGCCAGGACGTTCCAGCTTCCCCGGGGGTTTTTGTGGCCGGGCTCCCCACGGGGCCGTACGCTGCGCACCCCGACTCAGCTGCCCGGCCGCAGGCACGGCCGTCCCTTCCCTGTCTCACTCTCCTGCCTGCTGAAACGAGAATAAAATGGTGATAATGCTGCAGACATCCTCTGGAAAGGGCTCTGAGGCAGATGAAAAGCCCTACTTAAGAGTGAGGCCATTATTATTAATAACTCGGAGCGAGGCCGTAAATTCAGCCGACACAGCTATTATGGGAAATGAACCTGCTCCCGTGCTGGATCCGAGGCTGCCGGGGTGTGGGACGGGGATGGGGACAGGGATGGGGACAGCAGCGCGGGGCTGGTGGCCATGTGGCTGCTGGCTGGGTCGTGCCAGCGTGGCTGGAAGGGGCAAAACCTCCTGGCA